AGGAAGTACAAGGTGAAGATGGAGGAGATCAACCAGCTGGAAGCTGCGGAGAGCATTGCCTTCCGCAGGCTCTCCCTCCTGCGACAAAACACTGTGAGCAGGCGGGGTGGGAATGGCCGGTGGGCAGGGCTTGGGGGCGGCGGGGGCCCTTGCACGCCCTTGGCCACAAGCCAAGGGTGCATGGCTGAGGGCCAGTTCCCCCACATTGGCTAAGTGACCACCTTCCTCGCTCAGCCTCATGCCGACTGCCCCTCGAAGGGCAGCATGGGACCTGTCATCCACTCGGTGATGGTTCAGGTCATTCTTCTGCCCCTTCTACAGGGAAAAGTCCCTCCCGCAGAAGTGGCCCCACAGTGGGGGCGGGGACTGAGGGGGGCAGGTCCTGGGCTCCCACGGGAGGACGCTGTCCTTGTCCTCGCAGTCCGATGTGGCTCGGTGCCCGTGACTTGTGCCCGTGTGGTGGTCATGGCCCCTGTGTGGTCACCCTCTGTTCGTCTCTTCCCCAGCCATGGCCTCTCAAACTGGGGTTTTCATCTCCCTATGAGGGGGTCCTGGTAGGTACACGTTCCGCGGGCCGCCCTGCATGTCTCCGGGTGCAGTGCATGCTGGGTTCCCCTTGTGCCCGTGGTCTCATAGGATAGACTGAGCATGTCCTAACCTTCTGGAAGTGCATGCTGGGGGAGGCCCACTGCCTGCTGACCACCTGCACTGAGGATGACTAATCAGCCAAGCACCAGCCACTCGGTCCCCACATGATCCCTGGAGCAGCCTCACTAAGCCCACCCTTCCACATCAGAACTAACCTGATCTCCCCGAGCTGTTCACAGCACCTTCTCCCCTCCTGGGAGCACGAGCCCCCCGCCTCCCAGAGGGGCCAGCCACACCTGCCGCTTCTCTGTCGTAGAACAAGAGCCCCAAGGCCCGGGCGAGCAGTGCCAGTGGCCCGGAGGAGCTGGGGGTGCTTCCAGAAGAGGAAGTCCCCAGCGGCGACGAGGACCGTGAGAAGGAGATCCTCATTGAGCGGATCCAGTCCATCAAGGAGGAGAAGCAAGTGTCTCTGTCCCCTTTCTGCCCTCGGCTCTGCCATCTGGCCCCTAGCCCCAGGCCCCTCCGCGTAGCAGACCCGGCTGTTAAGAGGAGGCCGACAGGCTGGGCCCATTCCCGTCGTCCGCTACCTACCTCCTGGGGGGCTGCTATCCTCAAAAGCAGCCTAGGGCTCTGTTTAAGCCCCCGCTCGGCCCCCGGGAGCCACGGTGGTCCACAGGGAAAGAAGGGGCAGCAGAGGAGTAATGCCCAAACTTGGTCTTCAAGTTGGTTTTAGCTAGTGTGACCAATTAATCTGTCACCCGGTCAAGACGTGAGTGTGTAGGGACGCCACTAACATTATGCCAGGACGGGGCGACTGGGTGGCTCAGTCGGTTAAGCGGCTGCTTTTGGCTCAGGGCATGATCCCAGGGTCCTGGGCCCGAGTCCCACATGGGGCTCTCTGCTCCGTGGGGAGCCTGCCGCTCCCTCTGCCTGTGGTCTGTCAGATAAATTTTTTTTAAAAAATTATACCAGGAGGACAGGTGTGATCTGGGCCACTTGGCCTCCCTCGTTTTAGGAACAGGGTAGAGCACTCGGGCAGAGGGACCAACACTTGCAAAGGCCCTGAGGCAGGAGCCTGTCACTAGCTCAGTATAGGGCCAGGTGGATGGCTTCCCTCAGCAGCCTGACACCATCCTCCCCGGAGTGTCTCTGGACCAGGTGTGATTCGGGGATGGGTGCTGGGGGTGCTGAGGGCAGGGACTCCCATCCAGGACCAGGAAGGCCTGTTCTGTACCCTGCTGGCCTGGCACTCTTGTTGGGTGGTCTTTCACCTTGGGAACAGCCTTGGACACCACAACCCCCTTCCCCCCCCCCCGCCCCCCAGGGAGGACATCACCTACCGGCTGCCGGAGCTGGACCCTCGGGGCTCCGATGAGGAAAACCTGGACTCAGAAACGTCGGCCAGCACTGAGAGCCTGTTGGAAGAGCGGGCCGGGCGGGGGGCCTCAGAAGGTCAGTATTAAGGCAGCGTCTGCTTTTCTCCTTCCCATGTCCTGCACCACCGGCAGGCCCTGGGGCAAGGGTCCGTCTACTGGCCCCGAAGCTGCAGTAACCCTGCCATCTGTCTCTCAAAAGGGCCCCCCGCGCCTGTTCTCCCCAGCCCCGGCGCGCCCGCCCTGAGCCCCCTCCCCGTGGCAGCCGCCCCTCCACGACGAAGGCCGTCGTCCTTCGTGACGGTCAGAGTGAAGACCCCCCGGCGGACCCCCATCATGCCCACAGCCAACATCAAGCTCCCGCCCGGCCTGCCCTCCCACCTCCCCGGCCGGGCACCGGGTGCCCCAGAGGCCGCTGTCCCAGTGAGGCGCCGAGAGCCGCCTGCCCGCCGCCCGGACCAGGTACACTCTGTGTATATCACACCCAGTGCTCACCTGCCCGTGCAGGGCATGCGGGAGCCCCTGGACGAGGACCACCGGCCTCCGGGGGCCAAGCGGAGGTACTCAGACCCCCCGACCTACTGCCTGCCCCCCACCTCGGGCCAGGCCAATGGCTGAGGGCCACAGTGCCGAGTCCCTGCAAGTCTGAGGACCAGCCCGTGCCAGAGCTGGGCACTGAGCTGCAGAGCCAGCATTTGGCTGAGAAGGATCCCGAATGAAAAGCTCCAAGACAATGTGAGGTGGGCACCAGCCCCAAGTGCAGAGTCCAAGCAGGGAGAGGCCAGCCAAGGCCCGGCCGCCCTTGCTGAGCCCCCACACCACGTAGATGCGCCCACCCAGAGCACCAAATCATGGTGGGCGGCCTGGCATCTGGCATCTCCCACCTCCCTTTTTGTTTTATATGGTAACTGTTTCTTTGTGCGTGGTTTACATAACTTTAAACTGTAACAGCCTTAACGAGAGACCAAATTGTTTTTTATACGTGTATGTACAAACTTTTATATTAACGCCCTGCGTCTCCCTTATAACCCGGACTTGAGTCTTCAGAGCAAAGCCTGCACGGCCACCGCATGTCAGGGGCTCAGACCCACACTGAGGACGGCCTGGGGTCCACGGTCTGAGGACCGGGGCCTTGCACACGGGATTTGGACCCTTGGGGCCCCTGACTGCCCCAGGTGTGTCTCGGACGCATCCTCTGGCCCGGCTGGCCTGCATCTGAAGGAATGTTGGAGCCTCTCTGGGAATCAAGGCTGGTGGCTGGAGTCAGGGCACAAGGTGGTCGGCAGCCTCCACCTGCAGCACCACAGACCTCACATCCCAGGGAGACTTGAATGTGGCCATCACTCTTCTGTCCGCCATGCCCCAGACTCGGGAGGCCAGAGGAGGCCACCCTCAGCATACTGCCCGCTCCGTGTGGCCAACAGGAGCCGAGACTCAGGACCACTCACAGGCAGGGAGGGCAAGGCCTGGGGTTGGACATTCCTGCTGGTCGACAGTGACAGCTTGGGGATCTCCGGAGTTGGGCTACCCCTCTCTCAGGCTTGGCTCACTCCTCAGACACACGGCCACAGGTCTGGGACGGGAGGTGCCCCACAAGCCGTGCAAAATAAAAAGTGCCTGAAAGGTGTTTGCTTGCAGTTCCTGCTCAGACTGGGTTTGGAGTTCATTGGAGGAGCAGGGGGCTAGCAGGTGGGGGTCCACCCTGTGGCCTCAGCCAAGAGGGGTGCAGAGCGAGGGGCTGTGCCCCTTGTCTGGGAGGACCTGCCCTGATCCTCCAGCCAATTGCTGTTGGAATTTCACATGTGCTCCTCACACTAGAGTGGTGCACTTGCTGGAGGTGCTTGTTTATTGATCTGGAAATGGGGGGGGGGGGTTGCCAAAGAGCCTGTTGTCCTGGAAGCTGCCTTCCATTGCCCTGTTTTAGCACCCAGCCTCTCCCCGGCAAGGGCTTAAATACCAGCTACAAGGCCGTCTCCCATCAGTCCCTGGTGGGCCCAACGGAACCGGAAGCCATTCCCCCCCCACTATCCTCTCTCAGCCCAGCTCCCAGGCTGCAATCAGATGGGCAGCTGTGGGAACCTGCTGGCAGGCGGGGCCCATGGGGCCGGGGTCGGGGGGAGCAGTGAAGAACCCTAGTCCAGACGGCACATGAGGGAGTTGGGAGGCTTGTCTGAGGCCACACATTTGGGATGGGGTAGGGCTGGGATTCAGAGCCTGCCCCATCTGCCTCCAGTGCCCCCCTTCATCCACCCTGGGTTTAGTCTCCTACATAGTATTTTGCGAGGACACCAGGCCCACGTGTGACCGGGACACAGGTGACGTGAGGGGTGGGAAGATGGATGAGTGCCGCAAGCCAGGCTCCAGTCCCTCTGAAGCTCCAATCCTTAACCCTGTCCTCCGCAGGCCTAGGGGTTGGGGGGAGGTCGCAGGATGGGCCTTGACTGGGGACTCAGGTGGGGCTCTCTCCATGGGAGTCTGGGCGTTAGGGGTGACCCTGCCCCACCTCTCACCCCCAGAGCTAGCTAATACCCCCCCAGGCAGGCTTTGCCACACCACCCCTTTTCCAAAGGAGGAACCAGGCCCGAAAAGTTAAACTTCCTCAAGGCCACTGCGGGGGGTGGAGTCAGAATCAGACCCGGAAGCTCATAACCACAAACTTCGGTGGGCCCCTAAGCCTTGGATACCTTAGTCCCAGGCCCGTACCCTGGGAAGAACCGGGGAAAGCTGCCTGGATACGGAAGAGCTCAGCGTGGGAAGAACCCAAGCAGAAGTGGGCGTGGGGAAGGAATTTTGAGCAGGAGAAAAGGAATAAGCAGAGGACGTACTGCACATGGGACTGACATCGAAGGACCGGTCCTTTTAACCCTTCCGGAAGGGTTAAGACGCTTGAGAAGGGAAAACGCGATTTAGCCCTGAGTAAATACAGACAGGAAAGTGCCTCTCCTTGAAACAATACATTAATTCCGCCCCAAAGACGCAACCGCGAACGAGTGGTGGACGCGCCCGGAAGAAGCCCAAATGAGGGCACTTCCGCCCTCCTCCAAGATGGCGCCGGCGGAAGGGGCAGCGTACAGCCGAGGGGTGATGGCAGCGTCGAGGCTGGAGCTGAACCTGGTGCGGTTGCTGTGCCGCTGCGAGGCGATGGCAGCGGAGAAGCGGGACCCGGACGAGTGGCGTCTGGAGAAGGTGAGGGAAATCTTTACTGTCTAGCAGAGCCCGTCGCCCGGACGGCGGCCCCCGCAGCTAGCGGCCACCGGGCCCTACGCCCCAGTCCCAACAGCCGCTCTGACCACGCCCCTTCCGGCCGGCTCCGCCACGTCCACCTGTAGCTCCCGCCCCATTCCCTATAGGTCAGCTAGCCCCGCCTCCCTGACACGTGGCTCCTCCCCTTTCGGCCCAGCCCCCGTCTTGGCCTCGCCCCCTTAGTGGCCCTGCCGCCCCCAGCCCTCACCCCCACCCCCACTTTGAGCAGGACAGGGAGGAGTGGGAGGGTGTGGCAGACCAGGCTTACACCCCCACTTTTCCTCCCCAGTACGTGGGAGCCCTCGAGGACATGCTGCAGGCCCTAAAAGCCCAGGCAAGGTGAGTGCAGGCGGCCACAGGGGCTTCAAATCTGGGATGGGAGTCGGGGGGCGAGGACCGGTCCCTGTTGGGGAATCCCTGGGTTCCAGCCCCCTGCTGAGACCCTTCCCGGAACTGGGGACAGTGGGCAGGTTTTCTTTTTCCTCTTCTCGCCTTCCAGCAAACCAGCCTCCGAGGTGATCAATGAATATTCCCGCAAGGTCGATTTCCTGAAGGGGATGCTGCAGGCAGAGAAGCTGGTGAGCCGGCCTGCTCTACTTCCTCAGCCCTCATCATGCTCACCTGCCCAGGACCTGCTCCTCTGGTGACCCCTTTTCCCTCTTCGGCAGACCTCCGCCTCAGAGAAGGCCCTAGCCAACCAGTTTCTGGCCCCTGGCCGTGTACCAACCACAGCCAGGGAGCGGGTGCCTGCCACCAAGACGGTGCATCTGCAGTCGCGGGCTCGGTACACCAGCGAAATGAGGAGTGAGCTGCTAGGCATGGTAGGGCTTCTTCCCTGGTCCCTGGGAACCCTTTGGTCAGGGACAGTTTCGTGCCTGGGTGTGGCCAGAACAAATGCTGGCAGGTGCAGGGACCCAAGGGGACCCAACAGCCTCTGATCTGGGCCATCAGTCGGCTTCCCAACAGAAAGGCGGAGCCAGGACTTTGCTAGATGTATAGGAGTTTGGTCCAAGGCAAAAATGGTACCTATCTAGTTAAGGCCCAGAGCAACAGATAGATGGTTTGCCACAGACAGATGACTGTGTCTCATCTTGCCACAAATGGACAAGTTTTTCCATCTGTAAAATGGGACGGCAAGTGTGTTTTTGAGCATTTTATGTGGATCAGGTAAACCCTTCGAAAAACGAAGAAACTGAGGCCCAGAGGTCATGGGACTTGCCCTGGTCCCTGAATGAGTGTGTGTGGGGGGGATTCTGAGAGCAGAAAGGACAGTTCGGGGGTGGGGGGCAGGACAGATAGGTGACTTCATGCATCTCTCTTTTTCCCATAGGACTCTGCTGGAGGTGAGTCACCCTGAATGAAACAGGACTTGAGGCTTCACTGTCGTGCTGCCTCACATCCTTTACCTGGCTCCCCCAGGGTGTTCCACAGCCCAGGGAGCATAGCCCCAGGGGTGTCACCTAGTTATGCCTGATGGGGGTGCCAGGACAGAGGAGCTGGCTCCCAGAGGAAATAAAGCTGGAAACTCCCAGGCCACGGGGCCAAGGTTAGGCCAGCAGAAGGGACGTGGGGCCTGGGGGAGTCCAGATAGGGGTGAGGAAAACTTCTTAAAAGAGAGGGCTTTTGAGTTAGGGCTTTGAAGCATGATCAGGAGCTCACTGGGCAGCCAACTAGACAGGCAACGACATTATGAATAGCAGACACATCACAGGCAATGATCAGGAAGCCGGAAAACAGGAAACCAATCCTTTCCTTCTTCCTGCTTGGCTTTTTCGCTTCCAGAGCCCCAGCTGGATGTGAGGAAGAGAACGTGAGTGTCTTCAGCCCTTGGATGGCCCTGGGGGGTGAGGAGGGCGGGCGGCTGAACGAACCTTGGGCCACTGAAGCACCAAACCATGAGGGCCTCCACAAGCATCTAAAGCACTGATCAGAAGCCACTTCTGGGGATGCTCTTCCTAAAAGCCAAAGTAAAAAAGGGGAAACGGAGCCCCAAGCAGGGCAGTGGCTGGAGCCATAACCTCTGGGTTCCTTGGGAACATGTTGGTTTCTTCCCCTCCCCGACCCCATCTCATGCCCACTTGTCCACCCATGTATGAGGTCAGTGGGGTGACAGGGCCCAGACCAGGGGATGAGAAACAGTCGGCAGCCGAGCTGGACCTCGTCCTGCAGCGACATCAGAACCTCCAGGAGAAGCTCGCGGAGGAGATGCTAGGCCTGGCCCGGAGCCTCAAGACCAACACACTGGCCGCCCAGAGCGTCATTAAGAAGGACAACCAGGTGTGAGGACTGTGGGAACTTTCCAACCTCTGCCCTGGGACATCAGAGAAGGCTTCCCAGCAGAAGGCCATTGTGGCCAGGGCTTTGTTGGATAATAGAAGTTTGATAGTAGGCACAAACGGAATTCCCAAGAGAGGGGACAGTACCAGCAAAGACCTAGAGGAGCAGACTCGCCCCCAGGTAGAGGGGAGAGGCCACACTTGGCCGCAGCCGGGTTGACATTCTCCCTACCTCACCCACAGACCCTGTCACACTCCCTCAAGATGGCTGACCAGAACCTGGAGAAGCTGAAGACAGAATCCGAGCGGCTGGAGCAGCACACACAGAAGTCGGTCAACTGGCTGCTCTGGGCCATGCTTATCATCGTCTGCTTCATCTTCATCAGTATGATCCTCTTCATCCGCATCATGCCCAAACTCAAATAAAGACCTGTCTTGGCCCACCCTGTCTGCCCTCTGTCTGCCCTCCACCCGTGTCCAGGGCTGCCCTTTGGGCTGGGCAACAATATGGGAGGGTCTTTGGAGGTTCCTGAGAGCCACAGAAAGCGCATGAGCAGGAGAGGAAGGTTAGTCTGGGAGGGGTGGTGACCCAGTGAACTCCCCCTTCGGTTCCCCCCTGGTACCCACCCCACACCGGAAAAGGCCAGGCCACAAGAAGCCGCAGGAGCCCCCAGGCTGGAAGAGGCAGATCCAAACACAGTACCTTCAGCCCTGTGCGGTTGGGGTGAGGCTGGAGGGTGGGGGAGAAATGGGGCTATATCTGGAGGTCAGCCTGGAGGAGGGAGCATCAGGGCTGAGCCTTCCTTGAGACTGAAGATGATAGTTCAGAGATAGCACTTAGTCCAGCCACAACCTGAGCTCTCCAGAAACTAGAGGCTTCACCAAGTCATTCAACAAACACATGAGGGTCTGTGGAAACTCTGCCCTGCCAAGGTCACAGCCTGATCATTTCAGATGAGAACTGGGGGAGCACTACTCCCTCCTGAGTAGGGACCCTGGAAGGGGTCATAGAGTGGGAGTCCCAGGAGAACCATTGGTCCTAGGCTCTGCTCTCACCCCAGACGTTGAAGGCAAAGCCTGTGAAGGGGGTGATCAAGGGAGCTCAGTGAGGGAGGCTGTGGGCAAGTGACAGGTGCACAAGGGTGTTTGTCCCAGACCCATGGGAGTGTAAGTGGGCACTATGGGGACAGGCATGGAAGTGCCCAAGTGGACCCCCATCAACATAGGTGTAAAAACACCAAGTAAAGCTTTTTATAAGCTCTAATGGCAACTTTTAAAAAAATACATCTTGAGGGGCACCTGGCTGGCTCAGTCAGTAGAGCACGCAACTTTTTTTTTTTTTTTTAGGACTTTATTTATTTATTTGACAGAGACACAGTGACAGAGGGAACACAAGCAGGGGCAGTGGGAGAGGGAGAAGCAGCCTTCCCGCGGAGCAGGGAGCCCGATGCGGGGCTCGATCCCAGGACCCTGGGATCATGACCTGAGCCCAAGGCAGATGCTTAACGACTGAGCCACCCAGGCACCCCAAGCATGCAGCTCTTAATCTCAGGGTTGTAAATTCAAGCCCCACTTTGGGTGTAGAGATTACTTAAAATCTTTGAAGGGAAAAAAAAGTAGATCTTAAGGTTCACGCTTAAGATGCAGAGATGGTTCAACAGGAGTTTGTTAATAGCCACATTAATGCATCAGGAAACGCAATCATAGGGTGAAATGGTACATTGTACTGTTCAGTATACATTGCTCAACATCTCTCAATAAACAATTAGCAAAGATAGATATTTTCCTCATTTAACTGCAAAATCTCAAGCCAAGGAGCATTGAATTTAATGAGCAAATACTGGCAATTCTGCCATCAAAGAGAGGGAGGTGGAGGGGAATGTCCACAGTCCACCCAACTCCCCCGAAGATTTAACATTGTCTGGAAGTGCTGGTCAATACAACTAGACAAGAAAGAAGAGATTCGACTGAGAAATGAGAAAAATGGGCAAAGTTATTTGCAGATGATATGACTATCTATATGAAAAACCCAAATTAACTAAAAAAAAAAGCGATTTCAACCAGAGAATTCAGTAAAACAGCAAGGGATTTAATTTAGTTTCCTACATGGGGGGAAAAAAAAGCCTGCAAAATGTATTGGACGATCTCACCTATAATAGTAAAAGCAGATACACTACTTGGTTAAACTACATCCTTGGTATACAAAGAGCTCCCAAAAATCAACAAGAAAAAAAATGTGCAGGAAAAGAAAGACAAATCATTTCTGAACTTTTTCTCTCACCAGGTTAGTCAAGACTTAAAACTTTTAAGATACACTTGTGGGAAACCGTGATAGCACTGGAGTTACAGAAGTTGTGGAGAAACCAGTATTTCTCACACTGCTGCTCAGAGTATAATAATCTAGTGATTAAAGAAATATTTTTAAAATTTAATTGCTGAGTAAATAAATAAATACAAGTTTGCCAAAACCACCGGTTTTTCAGGCCAAAAAACCCCGAGGGTCAGAGAAGGTGAGTCACCAGCTCCAAACACCCAAAAAACACGTCCGGTCTCTGTTGGACTTGAACCTGGGGCGCTTCAAAAGTGGACCCACTTCCCTTAACGCTGGGTCCCGCCCCCTCACCGCCAACCCCGCCCAATCTCTCTAGGCCCCGCCCCGCCCTGTGGAGCGACCCCGCCAGTTGGAGCCAGCCTTTGAAGTTAATGCACAACCCAGACTCAGGCGCCTCTCCGGCAGCGGACCCAGGCTCGGAGACCCGGACGCTGGGACAGGTAACCCCGGACCGGAGCGGTCCGTGCGGCCCGCAGCTGGGGCAGAGGTCCCGGGGGACTTCTCGGGGGCGGTGTCTGTGGGCTTCACGCGCCCTACCAGGCGAGGCTGCAGCAGCGCGGGGGTTAACTGGAGGCGGGCCCACCCAGGATACGCGGTGGCGTCACGGGCGTCGCGCCTTTCTGGGTTACGCAGTCAGGGGCGGGCTGCTCTGGGAGCCAATGGAGTGCGCCTATGCAAATAGCTGCGGAGCTAGCGCCCTCGCCAGTCGGTGGAGAGTTGGCCACTCCGGGCTCCGCCTCCTGGTGGGCCCTCCAGGCTTCCCCGCCTCCAGGCGCGCCTTTCTCTGGTGCTCACAGGCGGCCCGCCGACCCCCCCCGCCAGGCGGGGGCCATGGCGCCCCCCGCAGGACCCGCCCGCCGCCCCGGGGACGCCCGAGCGGCGCCTCACTGAGGCCGATGCCCACCCGGGAGTCCTCAAAGACCCGCGGCTACCGGGGGGACCTGCAGACCCGCCCGCCCGGCCCTGGGCCCCCGGTGAGTCCGAACGGGAGGAGGGTCCCCAGGCCGAGCCTAGGCAAAAGATCCTTCCCCCCCAGTTTGAGGGATCCTGCCTTCCCCATAACCCTGGTTAACTCCAAACCATGATTCCTGCGGCTCCCGCAGCGGTTGGTGCCTCCAGGCCCGGAAACCAGCGCCCCCCGCGCTCTGTGCGAGCGTCAACCAGGAGCGCACAGGGCAAGGCCCAAGAAGATTGTATTTGAGGATGAGCTGCCATCCCGGGCCCTCTTGAGCACCAGGAAGCCTGTTGAAGCCATCCCCAGGGGGCATATGCCAAGGGCCCACCCAGTGCCCGACTATGAGCTGTGAGTGTCCCCCACGTTGTTCCTGATGCCTGGGAACAGGGAAGGGGCACTGAGGACGGGGCTTTGACAAATGAATAGGAGTTTACTAAATAGTAAAATGAGAAAAGGGGCGTTTGGGGCAGGGAGTCCCACATGGGCAAAGAAGAACAAATTAAACTGATTGGGGGAAAGGGACGAGTTCTTTCCATTCACACTCTGCTCCGCTTTAACCCCGCAGTAAGTACCCACAAGTGAGCAGTGAGAGGGAACGGAGCGGCTATGCTGCGGTGTTCCAGGACCAGTACACAGAGTTCGTGGAGCTCCAGCAGGAGGTGGGCTCTGCACTGGCAAAGCTCCAGCAGCTGGAGACCTTGCTGAACTCACTGCCCAGGCCGCGAAGCCAGGTCAGCCCCAGCAGAAACCCCTGCCCCACAGCCCTTCCAGGTAGTGGACCCTGGCCTCTGGGACCCCCTCTGGGTCCAGGTTTCTGGGCCCCTTCCTCCTCTCGGCTGGGTGGGCATCACAACATAGGGGTCAAGGTCAGCCCTTGAAGTCCTCACGAGATAGGTCACTTTGTCTATCTGAGCCTCAGTTTCCCCATGCCTCCTTGGGTTCAGCATTCTCTGAGCCCCCCACACGCTTCTCCACTTGCAGAAGGAAGCCCAAGTTGCCGCCCGTGTCTGGAGGGAATTTGAGAAGAAGCAGACGGTGAGTCATGTCCCCTGAGTCCCACCGGCTGGCCTTTGCACCCCTGACCCTCCCATGAGGCTCAGTGTGCCCAGTTTCATGGAAAGAAAACTGAGGCCCAGACAGAAAGGGGCAAAGGGTTGAGCCGCTGAGGGCCAAAGACCAGAGTACCACAAGGACTTTCCTGGGTCTTGCCCTGCCCAGGACCCCAGCTTCCTGGACAAGCAGGCTCGCTGCCACTACCTGAAGGGCAAACTGAAGCACCTCAAGATGCAGATCCAGAAGTTCGATGAGCAAGGAGATTTCGAGGGCTCTGTGTACTTCTGAGTGCCCTGGCAGACAGGCAGAGGGACACATTGAGGTGGCGGTCCCACCTGCCCTCGCCTCTCCTCCTACCTCCCGGCTTTAGCTCCTGCTTTTACACCCTCCTGGGGTAGCTTTGGCGAATGCCTCAGCCTCTGAGACCCAGCTCTGATGGTGCCTTCCTCCTCCGGGAAGCCATCCCAGAACCTCCTCAGGGACCACCGGCTCTGAGCCCAGATCTCAGTCCATCCCCTGGAAGCAGGTCTTGCCTAAATCTCTATCTCAGTGTAATAAACATTTATGAAATGCCTGCTTTGTACAGCTGCTTAACACTCCTGAGCTCACTCAGCTGTCACCGAAAAATCGAGGTTCCAGGAAAGGGACTTACCCAAGCAGGGTGTGAACTCTTGTCTGTCCAGAGGGTTCCCTCTCCACCCAGAGCCTCACGTGGCCTTCTGGTGGGAAGCTGAGGGGCTGACATCCAGCATTACTGCTCAGCCAGGCTTGGGCTGGGGGAGCTCCAGGAGCCAAAAATTTTCAGTAACTGGGGCACCTGGGTGGCTTAGCTGGTTGAGCATCGTCGGATTTCAGCACAGGTCGTGGTCTCAGGGGTCATGTGATCGAGCCCTGCGTCAGACACCGGGCTCAGTGGGGAGTCTGCTGCTCCCTCTGCCCCTCTCCCTGCTCTCTCTCCCTTTCTCTAAAATAAATAAGGGCGCCTGGGTGGCTCAGTCGGTTAAGCATCTGCCTTCGGCTCGGGTCATGATCCCAGGGTCCTGGGATCGAGCCCCAGGTTGGGCTCCCTGCTCAGTGGGGAGCCTGCTTCTCCCTCTCCCCAGTCATCTCTCTGTTGCTATCTCCGACTCTCCCAAATAAATAAATAAAATCTTTAAAAAATAAAATACTTAAATCCTTTTTAAAAAAATTTCCAGTAACAAGGCGCCTGGGTGGCTCGGTTGGTTAAGCGACTGCCTTCGGCTCAGGTCATGATCCTGGAGTCCCGGGATCGAGTCCCGCATCGGGCTCCCTGCTCAGCAGGGAGTCTGCTTCTCCCTCTGACCCTGCCCCCCTCATGCTCTCTCTATCTCATTCTCTCTAATAAATAAATAAATAAAACTTAAAAAAAAAAATTTCCGGTAACAGAGGCAGGGCTAGCAGAGGACCCTCCTCAGTCTTGGTTAATGGGCATCCTACAATATTCATGTGGCAGAATGCCGGGGACCTGGAGTCCCTGATGCCAACCCAGATGCGTGAGCCCTTAAAACTCTCCACCTCTCCCAGGGCACTGCAGGCCCAGCATCGATTGATGCCAGGCAGAGTATGAGCGCAGCTTGTGCCTGGCTCTGGGGGAGAGTCCCATGGTGCCCACCCCATGCCAGGCCCGAGGGAGGGAGGGGCGCCTGGGTGGCTCAGTCGTTAAGCGTCTGCCTTCGGCTCAGGTCATGGTCCCAGGGTCCTGGGATCGAGTCCCGCGTCGGGCTCCCTGCTCCGTGGGAGGCCTGCTTCTCCCTCTCCCACTCCCCCTGCTTGTGTTCCCTCTCTTGCTGTCTCTCTGTCTGTTGTCAAATAAATAAAATCTTTAAAAAAAAGATTTTATTTATTTGAAAGAGTGTGAGAGAGAACATGGGGGGAGGGGCAGAGGGAGAGAGAGAGGGAAGCAGACTCCTTGCGGAGCGCAGAGCCCGATGTGGGGCTCGATCCCAGGACCCCGGGATCATGACCTGAGCCGAAGGCAGCCGCTTAACTGTCTGAGCCCCCCAGGCGCCCCCGTCTGACTTTGCCTCCCAGGGGAGCCCCCGGGGATGGGGACCGTCAGAGAGGCATACTGCAGGCAGGGAAAGCAGTGTCAGCCACCAAATCCCAGAGTCCTCAGTCCCCAGACCCGTCCCCACAGGGCCTGTCTCCTCAGGGAAGATGGCCTGGGCCCAGTGAGAGAGCAGTGACAGAGGGCCGGATGGCAGTCTTAACCACAGAACCTCAGGAGGTCTTCTTGCGAGAAGGGCTGTATGCGTCGGGTTTTGTAGTTCTGCAGTCAGGCCTAGACAGACATCCACGTTTCTGGCCTGGGCACTGGACAGCAGGACAGACAGAATGGTCTCGCTCAGCTCTCGGATGTCCTGTGAATCTCATAGGTCATCGCCGTCCAGCCCAGTTGGAGGGGGCCTACGTTTGCTTACCTGCAGGGCGTCGTGGAAGACGCGGACCCCGGGCAGGAACAGTCCAGCCTCCAGGGGGAGCCCAGGGTCCTCCCCCTACCATTCCTACTTCAGTCCCCTCTGGGGGCAAAGCGTACCCACAAGACCCCCATTCATCCCCCAGGAAATGGATTCAAACACCCCATCTTCCCACTCAGGCCTCTTCCAAGATGGACATGAAGGAGGCTGGGTGCTCCTGGGGAGCGTTTTGAAGGAGGTTTAAGAGCTGAGCACGGACCCAGCCTGCGGAGCAAGACCTGAGTTCTTCCCCGTTTTCAAAGGGGCATCTTTGATGGAGGGCTTGTCTTCCGGGCCCGCCCCCACCATCCACGCTCTTTCTACCCACCCCCTAGAGCCACAGTCCTGACAGTCAGTCCCACAGGCACCTTTCCCACCACAGAGCTGGGCCACAAGCCTCTGAGGCCAGGATGGCAAGGTCCCTGGTGCCATCACCCCACATCAACTTAAGTCCACCTTCCAGATGTCAATCTCTGAAACAGAGTTTTTTTAGTTACATGTGAGAAGAAACCAAACTCAGGCTCAGGCACAAAAGGGTAAATGTGGGATCATGAAACTGAAGCACCTAAAGGTTTCAGATATGGCTTGATCCAGGGGCTCCAAAGGCATCCTGGGAAGTTGGTCTTCCTCTTTTGGCTCTTTCAATTACAGCCTATTTCCAAATCCCACCATCAAACCTCAGTGGCCGTCTCTGGGCCACACGCCCTCCCTGAACCAATTGCTGTAGCCAGGGGAGGGAGGGCTCTGTCTGGGCTGAGATCATGTGGTGAAATTACCCCAAATGTTTCTCCCCAGGACACTGGGGCCCAGACACCATGATCAAGGGCTGACCAAAGGAAACAATAAGGTGTTTGGTCCAGGCCCTGTGTGAATCTGTGAGGCCCACCTTCACAGGCCAGAGCCCGAACCTGAGCCTGAACGATCTGCAGGACTCAACTCCTACGGACTCACTAGCTGACCACAGGACCCCCTCCCTGCCCCTAGCTGCTTCCCCACAAAACTGTCCAACAAAAACAGCAAGTAGGGCTGTTGCTAGGTTGTGGGTGTTCCAGATGGCTGGGAGTGGGTAGCCGTGGTGGGGTGCCCCCCATTCTACCTTCCCCTCACAAAAATGATGGAGGCCAAGCAGGTAGGAAACATCTTTATTATTGGCCTTGATTCATTCATCATGTAGTGTCTGACGTGGATTACGTGTCCAGAGGATCTGCCTGGCGCATACTACCCCTGCCCCTCTAGTCCAGACACCAGGCCTCTGTCCATCACACAAGGGAAGCCAACCCCACCGGCCCAAAAGTCCATGCTTGGGCTGCTGAGCTCCAGGCTTTCCAAGGAATGGACCCTCGGTCCCTCCCCCTCTGTTCAGGCCAGGAGTCCTGGGGAGGCCGAGGCTGGAGCCTGAACAAGCACTCTCTTTTTGGTTTCGTGATCATTTAAAAAACAGAGAAGACAACATTTCACAGTCTTTAAAAAATAGGAGTCTGAGGAGAGAAGCCAAGGTCCTCCACTTGGGGGCCCTGCACGAGGCCGAAGCATCCATGTCCCTTGAGGTCTGCAGACCCAGCCGCAGCACAGCCGGCCCTGTGAAGTCACTGACCTGAGCCATAGGGCCAGTTGAAGGTACTTCCTGACAGCAGCATGTCTCGGATCAGCGTCTCGATGGGTGTCTTGCCCACCAGGCGCATGAAGAACAGCTGGGAGATGAGGGAGGCGGGGACAGCGCGCAGGGCTGGGAGCCGGAGCAGCAACCGTCCGAAGCGCTGGGGCTGGGATGGGTACTGAGCCCGCACATACTCTGTGAGGGCCACCTGCGCCTTCTCCTGCAGGCTTTCCACGTGTGCTGGGTCTGAGAGGCCACAGGCATCTGGGGAGACGGGCAAGGTCAACCGGGTGGGCAGTGGCAGAGGACACAAGGCCCCTCCAGGGGTGACTGGAGGGCACCACTCGGGGTTGTGGGTCTGGCGGGAGGGGGGCGCGTTCAGGTGGGAAATGGAGGCCTGAGGCACAGATGGGGGCATCTCAGGCAGTGCCTGTCCTCAGGAGAGATTGAGGTGGCCTCAACTGCGGCCAGCAACACAGGAGTGTGGCCAGCCGTGTCTCAGGACAGAGGAGCCCCGACTGAGGCCTTTGGCAGGGTGACAAGTTCTAATCAAGCTCGAGGGGAAGGGAGCTAGGGAGGGAGGGGACTTGGGAAGGAAGGCCAAGCCCAGAGGGAGTGTTCAGACAGAATGGCCTAGGGTGTCAGTGAATGTGACAGCATCTAAACTGGAGACCCATGAAGGGTAAGGTACTGGGGAAAGAGGGGCCAAGCCATATTTATCAAATGAAAGCCACCTCTCAGAGTCAGAGTGGTGGGTCTGGTTCTTGCATCCCTGACCCCACGAAGATACCTAGTGGGATCTGGAACCTTCCAGAGTGCAGAACCAGCTGTGCCACTGGTTCTTACTCCAGTCTCTGGAGTAAGGCAGGGCTTTCGGGTGCTAGATGGGTTAACTGATGACAAGGAAGGTACTGGGACAGCCCTGCCCTAGCCCCGCCCACAGAGGGAGGGACTCCAGGACACGCCCCTGCCCAATCCCACCCTAACCCCCCTCCCCCCCGCCCCCCCCTCCTCCCCGCGGCCCTGGCTGCCAGGAGGCCGGCTGGGGGGGGGGGCAGTTTGGGAACCCTGGGTCAGAAGTCTGAGGGCTCAGGAATCAGGGAGTGGAAAGGCTCGGGGGAGGCCAGACCCAGGTGTCAGTATCCCGGCCTGGCAGCCCTCCACAACTGCACAGTAAGCAGGAAGAACCACCTGATTTGGCAGATGAGGGTCAG